CTCGTGAGGAACAAACATAATGATTTGTTTTGCAAGCATGAAAATAAATGTTCTAAATTGACTTGCTTGACCTGCGTAACGAACCATTGATTTTGATGGCAAACATATTTTTTATTTTTAGTTTGTATGTATGTACATTAGACTGCATCACAAAAAAAATTGCAGTTTTTCCGCTGGGATTACAAAATCGATTATATTTTAAGACGTCCACCAAAATATTTTGGAAAAATATTAAGATTTAAGCGAACTGGACCGATTTGAAAATACCTCCAAAAATTGAGTTTTTTATGAATAAAAATAGTTTCTTAAAGAACTTTTTGAAAAAAGTCCCCTCAGATGACAAAACAGATTAGGCTTAAAAAATCTGCATCAAAAATCTTATTATTATGATTCCGTAAAAATTTTTTGAAATTTTTTTTTTAATATTTTTATGTACATGTTTTAAGCTTAAACCGCTTTGTCATTTGAGGGCATTTTTTCAAAAAACATCTTTAAGAAAGTATTTTTATTCATAAAAAACTGCATTTTCGGAGGTGATTTCAAATCGGTCCAGCTCGCTTAAATCTTAATATTTTTCCGAAATATTTTTGTGGAGGTCTTAAAATATAATAGATTTTATAATTTCAATGGAGAAACAGTACCGATTTTTTTTCGTATGCGGAGTGATACATAAATATGTTCGTCCCTTCCAACAAATTGAGTTATTAGACGCAATACAATTATTCAGAACATTAAATTAATTAATTTGTTTGCAAATAAAGTGACAACTGAAATTAAAGGTCAGCAATTGAGAAAGCTGTTTTTTACATATGATAAAATTTGTCAATTTAAGCAATTTAAACAATTTAGTCAATAAAATTGGTCGTAATTAGATCATCACAATTTTCTGCAAAAAACATGGAAATTTTTAATAAACGAATTCATTGCGATGTTTGTCGGAATAATTTCATAAATGATTAATTTACTAATGCTGGATTTCCACTAGCCATTAAATAATAAAAATTGTTATTACAAAGTTGGGCATCAAAAATGATCGCTAGAGGAGCCGAGTAGACTCAAGAGTAACGACCAGAAGCAGAAACTGATCGGGATAAAGGAAAGCCCGTTATTCCTGAGAGACACTCCGCGAGATAATTTCTTGCCTTGACAGGACCATAACAATTTCTATGATAAACTGTGAGACGTGGAAGGAAAGCGGATCAGAGCACATCTTTTCTGCCACTGCTCGAGTCTCATTAGGCATGGACCACGAAATACATTGCACTGAAGAGTTGTACGTATGTAGATGATCTGAAGCCATGAGAGCCAGAGGAGCCTATAAGTGTAGAAAAAAAAACTATTTTTTTAGTATATGAGAAAAAAGGATCTATAAATAATAAATAAGGTCTTTTGTTCAAAAGTTCATTGCACCTATGTGATACTACCCATTATCGTAAAAAAAAAATAAAATGCAAGAAGATTCTAAGTCCATGTAGATGAGTGCCATTAGGATCGAAACCTGATATTTTATTTCTTCCATTTGTAATTATAAATTAGCTAACTAACATCTAAAAATATAAAATTCAAATTCATATTTCTTTTAATGTCTTCTTTTTCATGATTGTCTCTGATATTCGCTAATAAAAAAGTAAGCTCAATATCATTTATTTTTGTATTCTTATTTTTCTATTTTATCGGAATTTCTTAACGGATATAGTCACCGTAAAGACATCTACATATGCCATAAAATAGCTCAGATATGTTGAGACACTTTTGTACATGTCGAAAGCTGAGTGGAAGATCGACCTATCCCTATCGGCCTATCTCAGAAAATGATTCAAGAACGGCCTACTTCAAAATTTGCTTGAAGTACGCCCAGGGGCGCACCCAGGAATATATTTTAGGGGCGGTTTTATATTTCTGAAGATATATCACCGGAAAATACTGAAAATTTGCTTCAGATAATACCCTCTTTAAAACNAACATTTTTTTAATATTAGAAAAACGAAAAATTCATATAAAACGGCGGACGAGAAATGGACCAAAATTTCTTAAATCAGTTTGCAGCTCTCAAGAAAAAAAAAATGCTCGTATATTTATTGCCTCATGAAAATTTACAGCAAAAGCAAAGCGCTTTTTCAAGCAACAGAAATTATAATAAATATTTCTTATAATTTCCTTGAGAGCTGGATTCTTAGCTTTAAGATACAGATTGTATTTGAGGTTATTTGCTTTAGGGGGGGATTTGAACCCCAAAACCCACCCCTTGTGTGCGCTAATGAGTACGCCCTATCTGAGCTGCCGATATATTGAATTTACATTGAAATAGGGCGTTCTTGGACCATTTACTGAGTTAGTGCGTTCTCCGACCAACTTCTGAGCTAGAGTGCTCTTGAAAAATTGGCTGGGATAGGCGTTTTCGAACCGAGATACAGGTTGATCTTCCACTCAGCCGTTGATATACATATAGATTAATTTATATTTGATAGTAGAACAGAATTTTTATTACAAAATTGACTGTAAAAGTCAACTGTTATAAGTACATCATTTTCTGAAATAACTTTAAAAGGCGTCGACACCTGTGTTTATATGCACCGACTCTCTTTAGACAGCTTGTGCCATTCGAGATGCAATCTACCTTCAAATCATTTCACTTATATGTAATTAAGTCCAATCCATTGTTGCACTGTTCATGGCGCTGTGCGTAAAAATCAAAAGTAGTTTGAATAATTGCAGATCAGAAGCGATATATATATATGATGTACATATCTGTATGTAAATTTTTATGTCTGATAATGAAAGATACTATCCAAATGTGAGTGGGTAGTGAGCGCCAAATCGAAAGAGAAAAAATAAATAACGAAGTCACGAATAGAATATGTAGAAAACGCAAATTATTTTCGATTTGTATGCAAACATAACAATATACCAGCACTACATAGCGGTCGTTAGCACAGACACATAACATATTACGTCTTAAAAAATTTTCCATGAGTAGCATTGGTAAGGCTGCTAGCCAAAAAGCTAAGCTGAAGTAGGAAAAAAAGTGAAAAAAAGCAATTCAATTGCAAAAAATACAATTAGGGTATTCACAAGATGTCGTAGGGTATTCACATAATGTCTAAAAGTCGTAAAATCTTTCAATGTAAAATAACGGTTAAAATGCGGTTAAAATGCTTTTAGAGCATTTATAATCACACCAAAATGTTGCTAAACCGATATTTAAATATTTAATACCCTAAAAATCCCTTTTAGCCCTTTCAACGGTTATTTTACATTGAAAAAAATTACGACTTAAAGACACTACGACGGTTACGACATCTTGTGAATACCCTAAATGTATAAATATGCAAATAAAACACCAGGCAAATGTACGTGGTGGATTCGACTAGCGACTATTAAACTATGTTAGCAGCGGGAGCCGCGCCAAGACCCAACAGTTGGTGTCCAAAGTGCAAGCTGGAGCGCGAAACACACTTGGGTGCATATGGATTGTGTCTGCTTGTTTGTGTACATTACCGTAAATAGGTAAACTTTATGTGCAGTAGTATTTCAACAACGCTGATTGTAATGGCGCTATAAATGTGTAATTACAAATTTCGATTTCGACTAGTTATTCAGTAGTATGTATTTGTTAGTGCTCTGTGGTCAGTGCCAAATGTGGGCTTGGCAGCACACTCAACTGCTTGTTATTTTTTTTTTATCAGATATTTTTAGTTGGTCTCGCCCACCAATAACTCTCATAAGACATCTATTTATAACGCTTTTAGTAGATATAAACAAAATTACAGTGTGTAGCAAAATTTGAGTGAGTGGCGCAAATTGGTGGCCATATTACTTATTTACTTAGGCTAATAAAAATTTTGGACATCACAGAAAATAATTGACGGCAATTTAGCTTTCCAAATTTAACTAGTAGGACATACTTTTTACTTAATACATTTTGATACAAGGATATTTGTTTCTTTTTTGGGCCTAATTTCTTATGATGCGTATATTTTTATAACGTGTTTTTTTTTAATTTAAATAATAGATTCAGAAATAGAGAAAGAGATGGCGATGAAATAATGAAATTTTCGACAGTCTTAATTTTTATGATCGTAACAGAGTTGCCATGTATATTTTTATTTTAAGTAATTCAATACTCGAAAATTAAATAATTTTACTCAATTTAACTGAGTTTCGTAATAAAATCTGTATAGAAAAGTTTTGCTTGAATAAAAATTTGGTAAAAAACACCAAAAATATAAAAAGGCAAACATGAATTTTATCTGGAACTTTTTTGTTAATTTCTATTTTAAGCATTAGAAATTTTACTAAAATTGTAACAATGTTGCTGCATTTTTATTTGAATAATTTTTACGCATAAAAATATTATTTTTTTTGTTCAGTCCCAAACAGATACTCAATAAAATTGTTAATTTGCCAATTGTAAAAATTTTATCACGAACTAAATTCCATAAAAAGCGATTTATTTTAATTGTGTTCGGAATAATTTTTAATGAAAATTAAACTCTAATGAAATGTTTTGGAGGTAAAGATTTAAAATTCGCCGAGTGAAAAATTTGGAAAAAATCGACATATTATCTTTGATTCAAGACAACCACGATTGTTTTTTATGAAAAGTTGTAATGGAACTAGTACGCCTATCTAAAGTTCATGTATTTTGGAAGGAGTTTTCGCCAACCTTTGTCAAAAGTGGTTTTTAGACAAACCAATTTCGGTGTTGGGAAATTTCAGTGTAATTTTTCGTTGCAGAATGAAGCACAAAAACCGGTTTGTCTCCAAACAAAAAAGTTCCTAAAAATTATATTTGTTGTTTTTTGATGATTTTATGAAATAAGGTGTGCTGAGGATATAAAAAATTAGTCAAAACGGTAATTAGCTTTGGTATTAAGAATAGCATGAACGGATAGTTAAAGTCACTGAAAATTATGTTTCTTCTTAGAATAGTTCATATATATTTTTTTTTATCTTTGCCTCAACCTTGTCTAACTTAGCGTAAATTTAAGTTTGCATACCGCTTTATTCGATCCATATCTCTCGCCGTTGACAGCTGCCTCCAGCAGACGGGCGCTCTCCTCCTTTCCGTCCACCTTAGCGGACGCATTATCTGTAGATACTGTTGACATGTTGCTAGCAATGGGACGCTTGCACTGTTTGAAATTTGTTTTTCCTCGAGCACTTAGAATTATTTAATACTCTGCTGTTTTTTAGTTAAGCGGAGTAAAGGTGGCGAGTAGTGTATATATGTGTGTATGTGTGCCAGAAGGTAGTATGCGTTGGCTTGTAGTCAAAACGAGTGAATTTCGGTTATATAAATGCGTTTTTTTTATTGTTTATTGAATATTTATGAATTTGAGCTGCGAAATACACTTTGCTTTATTCTCTTTTTCAAATTGAGGAATGACTTTTGAAACAAATATTTATTGGCAGCTTTTGCTATTTAAATGATGAGTCTTCGCTCTGTGTGATATTTCTTTTCGCACTCTGATTTTCACAAGTGTCTTGTTAGTGTTACTTTAGCTTCTCTTTTCTTTTTTCTGTTTTGTGCTTGTTTTTATTTGTTTAGTTCCACTTTGCTTGCACTTCACTTGTATGTATGCCCTTCGAATGTTATTGTCAATGCGTTTCTAAGTTGTTGTGTAATGTTGGCTAATCACACAGCTCAGCTCAGCTTAGCTCAAGTAATGCACTTCTGCTGCCGCTGATTGACGTTTTTCGTCTAACTGTTAACTGCAGCTTCATCCACCAATTGGACTTTCTGTTGTCCGGCACGCCGATGCTTAATGTTTTGCTACTCGGTTATTCTATTTTCGGCTTCGAATTATTTTCGAGCGCGCTTTTTTACTGTAGATACATATGCTTACGTTTATCGAGCGTTGCGCCTGTTCTCACGTTATTTTGTTTGTCGCGAATGCTGTATATCCTTAACACCCACACTTTGGCAATGAATAATTTTGACGCATGCTCTGTAGTACCATGACATTGACGTTGTATCCTATAGTTGTGTTCTATTTAAAATTTTTGTTTTTGTGTTGCTTTTTTATTGCTGTCTGTCCTTGCCGTTGATATGACATTTACATATGTACATACAATACTTTAAAATATTACGTAGTAGCTGATATCTTTGCCGCGTTTTGAGGCTTTTCCCAAATCGAATTTCTTCTTTTAGATTTTTTAGTACTTTTTTCTACTACTTTTTTCCTACTACCTTTTTTACTACTTTCTTTCTACAACTTACTTCGCGTTTAAAACAAATTGAAAATCTTAATCATCACGAATTCCCTTAAGCGATTGCTTTAAAAATACTTAGCAGCGCCTCGACATCCTTAACTGACTAGTTGTTGCTAAACCTGCTGTTATTGTCTTTTTTGTCTCTGTAACTTATCCGGCGTTCTTGTGTATTGCTCAAGTTATTGCTTAACGCTGTATCCTTCTGATATGTTATTTCACACAGCTTTTGATTTACTTCCTGCTCCGCTTTTGATTTTCTCTATACACAATATTCGAACGGTTTTTATTTCTCCTTTTTCCTTTGTGATTTTCACATCAATATGAACTCGTATCCAGATATGTTTATTTACTTAGCAATTGATATTTATTTTCGAGTTTGTTGAGTATATTTTATTTTTTTGACGCTTATTTCTTTTAAGTTGTATTAACTGCCCGCTTTATGTTTTTTATTCGAATTAAGCGCGCGCGCTAAACTGAAAAATCGTATCTTTCTTCTGCACGACGCGAATGCTTACTAGTAAATGCTACAAAATGCGCCTCTCGCATGAAATATAAAAACTTTTGTGTCTGCCTTTTATCCATGTAGTGCGCTGCGGCTCGTTGATTGGGGTGGCGGTGGAGGGGTGCGCGCGCTAAATGGTTATACGCACACTACAACTTTAAAGCGCTTGCACTGTTCAGCGGTATGGTGGTATAGGTGTCGACGCTTCTGGCGACTAGCTAGGTGCTTGTGTGTAGCTTCTGTTCCTGCTATCGTCGTTTTGGTTTTTGGTCGTCCGTCTCATGCGAGCTCATGTTGTGCGTCAGTACATAAATCGCGTGCGCCTGATAAGTATTTCGCTCCCAAGCATGTGGGCCGCTCTTCTGTGATGTCCACGCCCTCTCCAATGACTTCGCATAAGTTGCATACATATAAATATATATGTATGCATATACATATGTATGTACATATGTACCAGTCGCACACACCTCCTCAACATCGTCGACGACACCAGCTGTAAAAGCCTTAAGCTTTTCTTGAGCATAGTTTATACGCTGTTGTTGCCCATAGCATAGTTAATCAACGAAAAAAAGAGGCCGGTATGGCTGCTGAACGATGCTGAAGTGGTCGCGAAGAAAGGCGGCAAGGGGCAGTAGGCAGTTGGGCGCGAGATTCGAGATCCGAGAGAGCAGCTCGGGCTGTGTAGGCCGCATAGCCGATAACGAGCATCACAACGGATTAAAACAATGCAGGATAAATATTTTTGTTTATTTCTTTTTTTTCACGCGCTCTGTAAATTTCATCAGCAAAAGCTACCCAGACGGAAGCTAGTGATTTTTTTTTTAATCAACTAAATGAAAGACTATCTACTTTAAAACAAATGCACTGAGTAAATGTTTCGAATTTTTATATTATTTTTGCTCAAAAAACCAATTTGTGTCTTGGAAGTATGAAAAAGCATCTGTGAAGTGCAGAACGAAAGTGTATTCCAACGAAATATACTGTCTTTGAAGTTGCTTAAGCCAAATTCGTTTTAAAGTAGTTGAAAATACATGCGGAAAAGCCAATTGACTGCTTCCTAGGACATCGCCATGTTAGTAAGAATTTCAATTAGTTTTCATTGAAAATAAAGTACTTTATAAATTACTTTCAAACTAATTAAATTTCCTGCAGGGTAGTATCTAGGTAAAGTCCATACGCTTGCGTCGCTGCTTTCAGCTCGAATCGATAGTACGTGCCCCTCTTTCTGCTAGCTGCTGTCGTTTTTATTTTTTGTTGTTGTTTTACGTTTTAGTTGTTGTTGAGGTATTTTCTTGCTACTGCTTTTATTGTTGCATGTGAAATGGAAAGCTCAGATACATACATACTACGTCACAGTGAGGGTATGTTTTGTGAAATAATCAAATACCTCCCACCAACTCGATGCTAGGTATCTACTTATAGGCCTATGACGAATTCAAAATGATTGTCGAACATTAAGCCTATTAAGCATTATTTAACTAGCAGCATATCTGGTAATTGAGCTTCGTATTATTTAATTGAGAAATCACTCGAAGTTGTTTTGGTACAAATGATTCAAAGAGTCACTTAGAGAAGGCGGAGGAAACTTCTATTAAGGAACAGTTATCCAACAGATTTACCTCTCAATTATATACATACATACATATATAAAAACTTGATTTTTAGAGGTATTTTTTAAAAGGTCCAGCTCACGAAAATCTTAATATTTTTGCGAAATTTTTTGGTGGAAGTTATTTTAATTAAAATTAGTTTAAAAAAATATTTTCCAAAGGTTTTTTGTTTAAATCTCAAATTTTGGTGTAGATAATATTTCTCCGAATTATTTTGGCAAAAGTTTTTAAATAAAATAAATTTTCCAGATGCAGCAGAAAACTCGCGACTTTTTTTTTTTGGTGAGTCAGCCTAATGTATGGACATAAAAATGTATTTGCATGCAGATATACATACAGTCATCAATGGTAGATATTTCATTGAAATCGATTTAATAGTACATCATACAGTATATCTGGATATGCTAGAATATTTCGTTAATGATGCACAGACAATTGTTTATAATTAGTATAAACTTGTAAATAAATGTTAATTCCACCGAATTTTCAGTTATTATTATTTTTGTAAGATATTCATTTGCTTATAGTTATCTCATTTCATCACTATAAGAGTTCTTACTACACCCACTAGAAAAAGTGTGCGCACAGAGAGAGATTCTTTTTAATGCTATTAGGTGCATTCTTTTGCAACCGAGCTACAAAAGAACACTCGCTTAAATGACGAAATACATGCAAATCAGCAACACAAACTCGAATATTTATCCGAGAACAGCGAGGTCGGTTAAAAAATACGCGACCGGAAGGGTAGCGTTGGAGAGTGAAAAAAACTGCTCTATCGTAAATTTTCAATGGGAATGTGGTGAGAGAAATTTTTGTTTTCGTATATATGTACTTGATTTGTATTTTAAATAAGTATATATATTAGGCAAGTACCCCGCATAATTACCCATTTTTATTGATTTGTGTGTCTAAATCCAGTTAAACTAATCACATGTTTCTTGCCAGATAACAAAAAAGGATTGCTTAAATAGCTTAACGGAAATTTTACTCGTGTTAAGCGTTCTTTTGTCGCTCGGTTACAAAAAAATGCAGCTATTATTGTTTTTCAAAAAAAAGACGTTAATTCCATTCCATAATATAAACCATTGAAATACAAGTTTCAAACTTTGCCGAAAATTTAGAAAAAGTTGCTAAATTTTCTGAAAATTTTTAAACTTTATTGTCAAAATTTTTTTCGGTGACATACAAAGTATTGCTTAATTATAGCTTAACGGAAATTTTACTCGTGTTAAGCGTTCTTTTGTCGCTCGGTTACAAAAAAATGCAGTTATTCATGTTTTTCAAAAAAAAAAAAACGTTAATTCCATTCCATAATATAAACCATTGAAATACAAGTTTCAAACTTTGCCGAAAATTTAGAAAAAGTTGCTAAATTTTCTGAAAATTTTTAAACTTTATTGTCAAAATTTTTTTCGCTCACATACAAAGTATTGCTTAAATAGCTTAACTGAAATTTTACTCGTGTTAAGCGTTCTTTTGTCGCTCGGTTACAAAAAAAATGCAGCTATTCATGTTTTTCAAAAAAAAAACGTTAATTCCATTCCATAATATAAACCATTGAAATACAAGTTTCAAACTTTGCCGAAAATTTAGAAAAAGTTGCTAAATTTTCTGAAAATTTTTAAACTTTATTGTCAAAATTTTTTTCGCTCACATACAAAGTATTGCTTAAATAGCTTAACTGAAATTTTACTCGTGTTAAGCGTTCTTTTGTCGCTCGGTTACAAAAAAAATGCAGCTATTCATGTTTTTCAAAAAAAAAACGTT